CGATCGTTTCCCCAAGAGCTTCCAGGGGGCGAGGGAGCAAACGGAGCCTGGAAAGCAGGGTCCCTCCCAGGGAGAGGCCTCTGCCCCCAAGATAAACAGGGCAACGTGAGAGAAACCCTCCGAAGTGGGCGGTTTATTTAGCAAAGTTGGCCACGAAAGCCACTCAGAACTGGCCGCACAGGAGTGTGAATGGACGAGACTGGGTAACCCTTGGGCAGGACTTGGGCGGGGGTCCAGGGCGTGGCAGTAGCTTTAGTGAGAGAAAGGAGAGTGAAGGGAGGTGAGGCCGAGACTCTCCGAGCCGGAGACTGGCGTTAGCCAGAACGGGATTTAGATCACACTCAAAGCAGGAAGGAGGATGTGCAGGGGAAAACACCGGCGGATGCGGGGTGTGAAATCTCTTCGGTAATTCCAGAGCCTACTCACTTTCATTTCTCCTGTTCCTGCTGAAGCCTCCGTAGAAGTCAGTCTCCCAAAGGGGCTCCCAAAGTCAGCACCTTTGCTGGCAGCCTGTGGCCCGCCCCTTGTTCGCCAGCAGTGACAGTGCAGGGAAAATAACGTGGTCCCAGCTCAGCACCCAGACTTCCCGGGCCACTCTGGCTGTCTGGCCTGGGGCAAGTTAAAACTTTGAGTCCCAATTTCCTCCTCCGTAATTATGTAATTACAATTGTGGAGTGGTTGTAAGAAAGCACATAACTGTAGTAGAATAGTACCTTACCTGTCCTTGTGTTAGGTTTGTGATACAAGCCAATAAGGGCTCAGCTCTAACACCCTTCTCCTGGCTCTGACTTTCCCAGTGTCTGACACCTGCTTGGCATTACGTCAAGTGTTCCAGCGTCACTCTGGGAGACAGCAGGGAATGGCTTGGAGATCAGAGGGAGCAGCCCTCCCAGACCAAGGAGGCACCTTGGGTCTGTGGATCCCAAACTGTCCTGCTCCTTGTCAGCACCCAGCGTAGACAGAGAGCCTTGCAAGGGAGGAGAGGGAGGCTGTTTGGAGCATTGCTGCAGGCAGTGGGAATTACCCCTCACCAGAGTCCCCTGCCTCAAGCTTGGTGCAGAAGCAGCCAAGCTGCAACTTGGAAAGGACCAGCGTTACAGGCCAGCAGGCGCCCTTGCTTGGAGTCACCAGTCTAGACAGAGGCAGAAAGACACACAGCTTCTCCAAGGCCATGAGAAAGGGAACCTCTATAACAGCTGAGACTGAATTCAAAACCAAACTTACAGCAGAGGTGGGGAGCAGGTTTTGAGTCAAATTTATTACTTCAAGAAACTTACTATTTCTTGCACTCAGCACACTATGCATCTGGTTTTAGAGATCAATATGTGAACGCACTACACATGAAAGCGTTCACCGCAGGCCCATTCTGCATGTGTGCAGCCAGTGGTGGCCTCTGTCACTAGACCCAGCTGCAGAGCAGTGGGGCCAGGCTGGGCTTGAAACAAATTAAATGGACTCTATCAGGTGTTAGAAGAAACTCAGCTGCAGGCCTCCCTGGGGCTATAGAAACAATCAATGTTAGAGGCAGATATGTGTAAGCTGTTTACTCTGCCCCACACATGGCAGAATGTGCTGGGACTCAGAGCAAGAGGACAGGAAAAACACAGAGGAGGGATGGGGAAGCTTCACAAAAGTGATGTTTAGTTAGGTTGAGGAAGGACAGGGAGAATTTAGATTAGCAGGAAGGCAGGTCTGGTACAGAGCCTAGACCATGTATATGCAGACAGGGATACACATATATGGAAGTTTTGTGTGGATTAAGCACTGTCTGTTTTCAGAGGTACTGTTAAGAATAAGGTTGAAGTAGCCAGGTGTAGTGGTGCATACCTATAATCTCCTATAACGTGGGAGGCTGGGGCAGGAGGATCACCACAAGTTTGATGTCAGCCTGGGTTACACAGTGAGCTCAAGATCAGCCTCAACTGCATAGTAAGACCCTGCCTCAAAAACAAGAATAATAATAATATTAAAGTGGCACACTGGGGACAATCTGAGAAGGATCCTCACTCTACAGGTAATGGAATAGGAATTTAAAACAGGAGACAGAGAAAAAATATTCTGCAAGCTTCTGGAGAGGTGTGGGCACAGAGCTGGGCACCCAGAGTTTCAGGACTGGATACTCTTTGGTTGTCGACAGTAATACTACGAAACCACAAGGTTATGGAGAAATGCTTTCCAAACTTGAGTGTTATATCGATACAAACTATCACTCGGCTGTGAGAGGCAAATAAACACATTTCTGACATGCGAGGCATAAAGAGTTTGCCTCACAATGAATTCTTTCTCAAGGAGCTAAAAGGTTTGCTTCACTGAAATAGCAGCCGGGCGGCTGGGGATTTAGCTCAGCGGCATAAGTGCCTGCCTTGCAAGTAGGCAGTCGTGAGTTCGATCCCCGGTACCCATAAAAAGGAAAAAGACAAAAAAAGAAAAGAAAAGAAATAGCAGCTGGGCCACACAAGGGTAACCGCCGCATGCAGGAAACAGAAGATTCCACACAGACACCAAGTAAACTCTGACAAGGATGGGGAAGAGCAACCCCAGAATGCCAGCTGTGTCACTGAGGAGAACTAGTTAGACCAGAACAGTTGAAAGGTCATGAAACTGACAGAACACCTGATGCATGTGGGCTGTAGAGAAATTTGTGGTTCATTGATGAAAGGTACAACCAAGTGAAGAGAAAACAGGGCAATCCCTAACTCAGGGGAAACAAAAAGTCCTGTGAGAAAAGAAGAGCTGGTGTAGTTTATGGTTTGCCTTATATGGTCATAACAATCCGAATAGTAAACACTGGCTTAGCCAAAATTGTAATATGTAAAAGGGAGGAGCTGTGGAAAGTACAAATGTACTTTGAGGAGGAAAAGATGTCCACATCTCCCACTTTCCAAGTGGAAAGTAAAGATCTAAAAGAAAAAGCTGAAACATCGAGGAGAAAAAAACATGATATTTAGAGGTAGGAGATTCAATACCAATTAGCTCATTTTTCATTACTATAATGAAATACCTGATGCAGGTTACTTTGAAGGAAAAAGTGGTTTGTTTGTCCCTAGCTCCCGAGGTGCAAGGGCACGGTGCCGGCATCTTCTGGGCGGACAGTGCAGTGGCAGGAACCGGGGGAGAAGCCCAGTTCCCACTGCCGTGCAGGAAGCCAGATGGCGAGGCAGTGGTCAGGCTCACTCTTAGAACTCACTCCCACGGGAGCTGACTCCAGGTCCCACGGGAACTGCCTTAATTCCTTTCGAGGGTGCAACGGGCTTAAGGACTTCCAGCCAGGCCCCGTCGTTGGAGGCCCTGCCACCTGCACAGCACTACACCCAGGGCCAGGCTTCCTACAGAATGGAACGCAGTCACAGCAGGGCCCCAACACAACCTGTCCAAACAGCTGGAAGTTACTGCCCCTGGGGATGGGGATGGGGCTGCAGAGGGGCCCAGAGGCCAGCACTTTTGTAGTAAGGCTTACACTATTTGACTCAAACTGCACCCAATGTGATGTTGTAATTGAAAGAGAGTGACTCAGAAGAGGAATCCTCGAGACAGGCAGAGCACTCCTTGTAACGTGGAGGACCCTGGGGTGCTGGGCAACAGGACGGAGAGGGGGTTGATGGGAGCCATGAAGATTTGTTTTCTGCAGGAGGGAGGCCTGCAAAGAGGGAGTTAGAGAATATCGAGGGCCATACATGTTGAACATCTATTCTAAAAGAAAATGGAGAGAATCAGCTGATGAAGAGAACAACTTTTCTCCTAAGTGAGAAACTGTTTACCTCGAGACTAGGAGGAAAAATATGTGAACATAAGGGCAGACACATAATCTAGAAGATTTCAAATTGTTCCCAGAAGTTCCAGTGACTTCTGGATAACATTTGCATTGTGAAGAAAGCGCACGTATGTTGGTCAAAAGAAGACACTTGAGATAATTTTATTAAGTCTTGGGGCAGAGATGAGAGGAACACTTTTCACGTGTTAAATTTAAATTTCAAGCAAAAGATCAGCAAAAGAAGTTAAGTTTCAAGCACAGAGTAGCAAGAATCAGGGCATTTGTTTGTCCCTAGCTCCCGAGATGCAAGGGCATGGTGCTGGCATCTTCTGGGCGGACAGAAGTCACTCATTTGGTAACTGACACAAACTACTTTATATGGTTGTTTATGGTTATGGTGTGTTTTTAATTTTTTGTTAAAATCTTCCCAGCCACACATTTAAAGGGCACCCAGGTGAAGCTCTCTAGACCTCCTTTCTTGCTAGACACCTTGTAGATCTATCCTGCTTCCCTCTTGCCCGGTCCGATTGTCCCCTTGAGGAAGTAGCTGTCTAGTCTCTGTCTTGGACTTCTCTTTGTCATGCATGGAACTCTAGGGGACATAGAAAAAGGAGAAGACATTGTAGATCCAACTGGATCTACAGATAAAAGTGGATCCCTACCAACCTTCCCCTCTCCCCATGTCCTTCCAACTATCCTTGGTTGAGGGAGTCGCACTGAATGATATGCTGTGCCCCCTTCAGGACAAGTCTGAAACCAGGGGACAAATGTCATGAAATCCTCTTGGAATGGCTCATGGCAGAGTAATGCAGAGAAGCCAGTAGAGAAGATGCAGCGGGACTGGCTGGGGTCAGCTGCTGCATGTGGTCATTTCTGGGGTCCTCACACAGACCCCTCCTCAGGTGTGGCAGCCCTCACAGCTGCGCACACTGGCCAAGATCTGGTTAAAAGGATGCAGTGCGGTTCCATCTATGGATTCAGAGCTCCTGGTCAAGTGTAAGATGCAATCGTGCATGTGTGTGTGTGTGCATGAGTACTTGTGAGCATGTGTTAGGAAGGGTAGCTGGTTGTACCCCCACAGATGTGACCATCAGTGCTGCAGCCACATGGGGGCACCCATAGGACAGAGGTTGGTGCCATTCAAACAAGCAGGTTTGAAGACCTTAGTGGACCATGGATCCGAGGTACGAGGCTGTGAAGACCCTGAGGGCCCTGGAAGGCGCCTCCACTGGCTGCTTCTCTCAGGGGAGTCAGCACCTGAAGCAGCAGAAGTCACACAGTTATCCAAGCTCACGACTCAAGCGCGTGATCCCGGGATCCCATCTGCGTGCCCACCTCCCCCAAAGCCTTGCTCCTCGCCCCACCTCTGCTTCCCGCTCGCCCACCCTCTGCTTCCCTCCCACAGAGTCTGCTCCTCCACCCCCAGCCTGTTCCAGGCCTTGTGCACCTGGGGCCCCTGGACATCCGCGTGCCTGTGATGATGAGGACGGTGCCCACGACGAGGCCCATCAGGCCGATGGCCAGGCCCAGGGCGCAGACCAAGGTCTCTGGGGTGTCTGGCAGTGAGGCAGGCAGCTGGGGCTCTGGGAGAGAAAGAGGGGTCATGCGTGCAGCGAAGGGACCGGAGACTGAAGGACTTGGGCTTGCATGTGTGGCCAGGATGGGGGATGCTCCGTACCCCAGTGCTTGAGGAGCGGCTCATCCAGGCCCCAGTGCTCCACCCTGCAGTCATAGACGTCATCCGCCCAGGGTACAAAGGTCAGGTAGTGGAACTGGCAGAACGTGTGATCGGGCTGGGAGTAGAAACTGGTCTGGGCCACCCCCTCGGTGACCCTTTTCCCGTTGCGCAGCCAGGTGACACTGATCACAGGGGGGAAGATGTTGTCCACGATGCAGATGAGAATGTTGGGTTTGCCCAGCTCCACTGGAGACTTGGGGAGCACGGTCACCCTGGGAGGCACTGAAGGGAAGGAGGGTCTGAGTCCCAAGGGCTCCTGGCTTCCAGCTGGGCCAGGATTGAGGGACACTGCCTCCCACCTGCCCGCAGGGGGCGCTGCGGAGGCAGGAAAGGACCGAAAACCCAGAGGAGTCTGGGCAGGATGTGGGGTTACCCTCCCAGCCCTGGGCGGGACTTTCCTCAAGAACGAATAGGATTCTGAGGGGTCTGGGGAAACCTAGTGACCCCGGCTGAGAACAGGTGCCGGGCTGAGGGAGGGTTTGCGGGGTCAGGGAGGAGGGGACAGACCCCCGGGCTCCCCGGCTGGCTGGTGGGGTGGGGGGTGGCTCGGTACCGCTGGTGGCCCTGGTGCGGTTGGAGCGCTCCACCAGGACGCCCAGGTGGGCTCTGATCATAGCGATGCTGGCCAGCCCATTCTGCAGGTCGAAGCGTGTGAGGTCGCCAAACTCAGGCAGCCGCCACACGACCTCCCCGTTCTTCAGGTCCACGGAGAACAGCTGCTCCCCATCGAATTCATGGGTGAACTGGCCCGAGGCATCGTAAGACTGGTAGAAGGCCGGTCCGTAGGAGCCCATGTGGTCAGCTGTGCGGGTGAGGCAGGGAGAGGAGAGCGCGAGAGGAGGTATCAGTCTCAGCCTGGCCCCACCTGGGTTGTGTGGGGACAGAGTGCTGACACCGCGCTGGCCGTGGCGAGCACAGCGCTGCAGAGGGCTGCATGGTGAGGTCGGAGGACCAGGCCATGCCCAGCGCATGGTGACCAGGGTACACAAGGGCAGAGTGCAGCCACGCATGCTGAGAAGAGCAGGGGCTGCCTAAGCTGGTGCTCGGGGGTCCCAGAGCTAGAGCTTGGTCCTGGTCCTCAGCTCGGGCTGTGTCCTCAGGTCCCCTGTGGGAGACAGGAAGTTGGGGGGGGGCACCGGGTTAGGAAAAAATAATCACCGGCAGGGGTATGCATGGAGCTCTGGGCACAGAGATGCACTGGAGGTCAGAGGGAAAACGGGCAGGATCTGGCTGAGCAAAATTAAGATCTGTAAAAACCAGAGGGAGAAAGAAAGGCATGGCAGAGAGCCCCGGACGAGAGGTTGGGGCTCAAGGCTCCTGCCCCACTCAGAGCGTGGTGACTGGGGGTGTCTTATCCCGAGCTGAGTGCTGGGTTTCCTAGAAGCCAGGGGTTGGGTTTTTGCTGGAAAGATGCCTTTGGATCTGCTGCAGTCCCTTGTTCAACACGGGGGTTACTGTGTGCCCAGAATGGTGCCAGGGATAAGACAAGAAGATGAAGCAGTAAGAGAATGGTACCAGCTGTGCACAGCCCAGCAGCTCCCAGCTACACAGTTGGAAGCACTGCGGTGGGCTCCGTCCATGCGAGGAAGCCAGAGAGAAATCAGGGCTTTGGGCAGGAGTGGGGTTTGGGAGGAAACTGAACATGAAACGGCCCACGGGAGACACCAGCGTGGCTGGAACACGCTGCACCCGTGTTCAGCCCAGAATGGATGTGAGGAGAGGGGATTGGGGTCATCAGGGGAGGAAGCTGACCAGAAACCAGAGAAGGAGGGGTGATCACCCTGTGCAGTCTCCAAAGTCTCCTGTCCTCCCCCAGCATCCCTCAGTACTCACCCTGGATGGCCCCTGCTCCATGGGGGCCCAGGACAGTCATTGAGGTGAGGAGGCCCAGGACCAGGCTTGTGGGGATGGCCATCTGCCTTGCAGCTTCAACCCTATGAGTCTCAGTTTGTACTGGGAGCAGAGGAAGAAAACAGGTGCAGAAGAGACAAGTTCTGAGTTAGGGAAGAGACCCTTGCCATATGCAGCCAATCACAGCAAGTCTGCAAGTTGACACAGCTGTTGCTGGGTAGAGAAGTAAAGAGCTGGGGTGAGAAGGTGGAGGAACTTGCTGGGCCTCAGAGGGGTGAGAGGCGGGGAGAGGAAAGGCCTTCCGGGGACACCTCGCAGCTGGGCTGGGGCGAATCCTTCACCTGACTGTGGTGCAAGGAATCCTCCCTCCCCTGTAAGTTTCTGCAGAAGAGTCTACAGTTTCAAACTGAAATTACTAAGAAGCTTTCAAAGGGTAATACTGGGTTTGTAATAGAATAAAAATCCTTTAAAACTTTAAGCTATTTTCAAAAACATTATTTTATTTCATCACAAAACAATGACCGCATAACTGTGGAAATGCTTAGTCTGAAGAAGAGCTGCATGGACAGCTGACCCCCGAGGGCCGTGTCCCCATGGGCTTTGCGTCTGGTTAGTTTCCACCAATAGGAGGCAGCCGAAGAATTTAGAGAAGTGTAAAAAATATACAGCTGTCTCTCCAGGTAAAGAGAGGTGGAATAAAACCTCCGAAGGTCATTTGCCAAAGATCCTTGAAATAAGTGATTTTCAACCTGGAGGGATTCTGAGAAACTGCTGGGGTCCAGGGTTCTAAATTTAGCTGCATAGGAAGATTACCTGAGGAATTTGTTAAAAATATTAAACTCTTGTCCACGAATGGGTAAGTGGGAAAAGAAAATGTGGCGGATGCAATGGAATATTATTCAGCCATAAAAGAAATGAAATCCTGTCATTGCTGGTAACATGAATGAGCTGGAGGAGGGTAAGTGATGTAAGTCAGACCCAGAAAGACAAAGGCCACGAGTTGTCACTCGGATGCGGGAGCTTGAGCCATCGATGTGGCAGAGGTAGACTGACACTTATCCCGGGAGGATGCGGGCCAGAGAGAAGGACGGGAGGGTTAACAAGGCCAGGGGCGTGGCCGGCCAGCAGGAGTCTGTAGCTCCTAACATTTTATGGCACACTGGGACAAATGGGAAGCAGAATTTTATACGTGTTTATTAGACCACACTTGTAGACTTTGTTGTTTCATTTGTGTCACTTTGATCTATTGTATTTTCTTTATTTTTGATTGATTTATAAATAAAAATGAGTTTAAATTTCTAAGTTTGCAATTTGTTTCTGTAAAATCAATTTTATTTTTACACATTTAGTTTATTAGGTGTGCTTATTTTTTGGAATTATAGTCTTGTTGAACTGAGTCTTTCTTTCTGAAAGTCTGGCTTGTCTGATACTCATACAGCTTTCTTTGTTGGTATTTGGGGTTTTGTTGTTGTTGTTTTGCTCAGCCCAGGCTGGTCCATCTGCTCCCTCTTTATCTGCCGTTTTATTCTCACTCTTTCTATGCACATGTGGCTTAGGTGTAACACCAGTAAACGTTATAAAGGGTGATTCAGCCGGTCATCTGTCTCCTAAGTGATGGTTCAATCCATGTACTGGTCAAAAGAAGCAAATTGCTTGCAAAAACCCTGAGGCGTTGGTGCTTTTACAAACCATGGGTTTATTTTTTAACCCAGGTACAGGGCAAGGCGGGTTGTCCACTCGGTGGCGCCCCTCTGAACGTGCCTCACACAGCCCGCTGTTCCATCTCGCAGCTCCAGGGCTGAGGGGAATTTCACTTCCAGCTCTGTCCTAGGAGACAGCAGGGGGCACTCTGGGCTGCAGACCAGGAACGTGTAATGGTTGGGGAGCCCAGGGCACCGTCTTTGCCTCACCTCAGCTATTTTTGGCACATTGATTATTGATATTTTTGGACTTATTTCAAATACTTTATTCCAGGATTTCTGTTTTCTAAGTTTCCTGTTTGTCTTCATCTGTGTCTCCCTGGCCTCCCTCTAACCAGACAAGAACTTCAGCCTGCTCTCAAATGCATCCCTATACTTTATCTCCCCTTCACCAAAGCGCTTGCCAACTCTACTCCTAATTTTTCCTTTGATCATAACCCAAAAATATTTTATTGATTGGTTGATTGAGACGGGGTTTCACCGTATAGTTTAGTCTAGCCTTATGCTTTCTATGGAGTTCAAGCTGGCCTACAATGCAGGGTGGTCCTCCCGTCTCCACCTCCTGAGTGCTGAGATCACGGGCATGTGCCTTCACCTGTGGCTTCCAATAATATTTTAAATGTGAGTCTTTGTATAGAAAAACTATTGAAATCTTGTTATGCTTGAGAACAGTTTTATTGTACTATCATTTTAAAGCTTTCTGACAATAATTATATGTACTTATGGAGTACAGTGTGATAATTCAATGCGTTTATACAATGTATAATGATCAAATCAGGATATACCTCTGCTACCATCATTTTTGAATAAAGTTGACTTGTGTATTAAATTCTAAGTGTGAAGTTTTTACCTTACATGTTTTAGGTAATACCAGCCCAGGGTTCTTTCCCTATCATATCAGTTTTAGTTATTAGGAATTCTGATTTTAGTCTTTCATTCTGGAAAGTTTTAAGATCTTTTCCTTGTGACACCTAAAAATGTTATATTGTATAGAAAGCGGGTTCTTGCTTTTCTCTATGTAGGGTGAATCTTCTCTATCTTTTATTTCTGGTAATTAATTTTTTCCACTCTGAGTTTTTTCTCTTATTTACTTGGAACTCATATTACCCATATGTGGATTTGTCTCAAGTCACCTCTATTGGTCTTTGTTTTCAGTTTCTTTATTCTTCCATTTTTATTCTGGGGCAGTTTCTCAATGGAGTCTTCCAACCTACTGATTTGCTTTTCAGTGTATCTCTTGTGCTGTGTATCTCATCACTGTGGTTTTTACTTTGGCTATCCTATTTTTTCACACCTAGAACTTCTACATGGATTTCCCTGTATTTCCTGGCTTTTTCATGTTATGATTCCTACTGTTTTCTATGCTTATTTGAAGCGGCTGGTCTACAGTTTCTAATACTCTTCTGACAGACACATGCGATCCCATCTGTTGTCTTTCTCCTGCGGCAGCCGCACTTCTGCAGGGCTTACTGTGTTACCCCAAGAGGGCGCATCTGTGCCTGTGTCCTGGGTGGAAGGAGAAGGAAAGGCTTGCTGGGGCCCTAGTTCAGCACGAAACCAAGGTCACTACCCTTTGGTGGCCCCTTACCAAGTGACCTTGTCTCAGTGCATCAGATCAGGGAGCACTGGGAAGGGCAGCCAGCCTTGGTGCTGGGCCCCAGGTCCAGGGGGTGACACCTGGGTGGGAGAAAAGTGAACAACTGCTGTGTGTGTGTTGTGATTGGCTGGCTCCGTGTCCTCCCCTCTCCAAGGCTTTCAGGCTTGACTTCCTCCCCAGCCCTCAAGTAAGTGAACAAGCAACTGAAATGTTTCTCTCTCTATCTCTATCTCTCTTTCTCTCTCTCCCCTTCACAGTTCTTTCATAAGCATATAATATACAAAATAAACTGCATTTGTAGTAACTAGCCACCAAGGGGTAGAATGTGTAATAAAATATATACCATTAATAATATTACACAAAGAAATCAAAATCTAAAAGCTCGTGAAACCTTGAAGTAGAAAGTCATTAGAAGATGGTTAAGGACCCATAAAGGAATATTTTATGTATGTGGACAAGAAGATTTTGTTTCATAAAACTTTTTCCCCAAATTGAGCTAAGAATTAAATGTTACTCTTTTAAAGAAAACTTTTTGATTTTATGGGAAAAAATTTTAAAAATTTCAAAATAAAATAATTCAAGAATAACAAGGTGTTAGAGTACAAAATGTGGGTATAAAATTTTTTCTAAATGATATTAGCACAAATCATTCTTTTCAATGAACTAAGAGGAAATAGCAGTGTAACTATCTTATTGCTCTTTGCAGCATGGAGCAGGCAGTCCTTCAAGGGCAGTCCTGGGAGAGCCCAGAGCAGGCTGCTGGAAAGCAGCCTCAGCCAACCACAGCCACATCACACACAGCTCCTGATGTTCCCAGGGTGAGGATGGTGAAAGGATGCAGAAAAAGACCAGAGTCAGAATTCAGAAAACTGAGGCTGTGTGGAGCCCTCTCTCCTGATGGGAAGCACAGAGAAGCAGGAGCAGAGGGAGAAGGGGGAAGAGAAGGAGCAAGAGTGTTCCAACAACTACAGTGCACTTATTTATGCACTTGAGAGACTGAGTGTCACGTGAAACTTCTGCTCCTAAGAGCTTATCCATGTGGCTCGTCTCAGGCACTGTGTTCTAGAGATTAGCCACACTATGATCTTCAGCTTCCCGCATCTCCCTCTTTTCTATTGTATAGTTGTAAACATTGGATAGTTAGCTGAGGCTAGAGAAGCTGCGTTTAGAGAACTCTGTAGATGATCTTTTTGTTTTTGAACCCTTTTTATTTTGAGGGAACTTACTTGTTTTGGCTAAAAATTGACAGTCTAAGGATTTTAAGTCTCTGCATTTAGTAATCCATAAGAGTAGTCAGTCCCTAGTGTGGCTGGCAACTATCATAAGGTGTTGGTGATTTAAGTTTCTTTTAGCTAACATTTACTATGGCACTTTTTTTTATCCCTCTTGTAGTATACTTTTCTGCAGGTTGTTCAAGACTAAGTTAAGGTGAGACCTGTATGAATTACAATCAATCTCTTGTTGTCTATCCAGGCACTTAAGATGCCTCAGGAATCATGTTGGAACCATGAACAGCAGCACCTCTTAGTTCTGTCTGTGGCAGCCCTCTGGATGAGTCACAGCCATTGCTTGACCAAGTTGCTTTCTGTGAAAGTTTGGCAGATTTTTCTCTCCTGGTGACTCTCCTTAAGCATACTATGCACTACAGATCTTTATCCTCTGTGGTCCTACAGTCTCCTTGGTCAGGAGTTTTAGAACTCACCAAAGTTGTAGGATGTTGCTGAAAATGTTCCCTCATGTCCTGTTTCCTTATTGACCTCTGAGGGCTGGGACTGAACTATTGGCTGTACTCTTGGCCCATATATGTTTTAGTTTCTTGTCTCAGTTGTTGAACATCCAGAAGAGAAGATTAGTGACATCACA